AAATTATTCTAGTTAAAATGATCAACGCGTCTTACAATTTACGCGACACGGCATTTATATAGATTGATCGTCCAAACTGGTCTAAATACCGGTTCGACTCGGTTCAGTTTCAGTTCGATTTGATCTTCAAATCGAACCGAAACTGGTTCTATGATCAAACCAGAGTCAGACCGGTCTGGCCACAGACCTTAACATCCCTAATAACAATTACGATCTAAATAAATAATTTTTTTTGAAAAAATTAATTTTTAAATTTTTAATTTTAAAAAATGGCAACAATTGAAGAAATTAGACAAGAATTAGAAATGGCAAGAGGAGAGTATGAAGAGGTGAAAAAGAAGCTGGAAGAGTGGGAAGTGGGGAAATACAAAGGAGAGAAGTTGAACGAGTTGGAAGATGAGTTATATAAGGGAGAATTCAGGAATGAAGAACAGAAGAAAAGGTGTAAAGAGAGGGTAAAGAAGTTAGAAGAAGAGAAGAAGGAGTTGGAGGAAGACAAGAAGGATAAGTGGGAGCAGGTGAAGGAGTGGGGGAAGGCATTGCGTGATTTCAGTGGAGGAAAAGGTAATGAACAAATTGCATAAAAAAATATACAAAAAATTATTTTTTATTCATTCAATTTCGTTTATTTATTTATTTGAGAGATATCTGTTACAACTTTAACCAATTTGTACTTCTTTTTTCTGTCCATTGTTTTCTATTGCTGCTTCCTATTGAAATTACAAAAGGTCTTGAAGAAAATAAAGGTAAACACCATTTGTGTTTTTTTCTTTGGTTATTTCATTTTTAATTAGATATGCAATCTTGTTCACCTGTTTTGTTTTAAATTTATTTTTCACACTATTATTTAAAATTAGGTAAGATTAATTTGCAATAAATCCATACATCCAAGGAATATGGATTAACTTTAATTTATTTATTTGCCTTTTAGAGGGAAGAGGAATCAAACGTCCAGTAGAGGATGATTATACATATGCTGCAGCTGAAAAAAAAGCAAAACTTGTTGAAGATATGAAGGTACCACTTTCAAGCTTTTGTAAATCATGTAAATGGGAAGAGGTTGTTCCTGTGATTTTCAATCATCGGCCTCATGATGCTGATATTCCTATCACTCTATATCATCAAGTATTTGCACATTTTCAGGAGTACTGTACCAATATTCATATCTCAATGGATGATTGTGACCTGGTAATAAAACTTATCACACAAATGACAAAAGCTTTTAAGCGTGAGAATGATAGGGTGGCTGAATTTTTAAAATGGACATCTGAATATTTTGCTCACCCAGTTACAAAACTACCACTTCCACAAATTGGTCAAGAAGCTGATATTGGAGCTTGTCATTCTGTTGGAAATCATTCTTTCTGTCTTCTTATTGGTGAAGCTAAAAATGAAATTGGGGAAGGACATGGATGTTCATATATACAAGCATGTGCTTCATATGCTAAACAGATTGGTGCTAATACAAATAATACAATACATAAAGGTCTCAACCCATCTTTTATTCTTTATCTCTCTGGTCCTTACCTGGGTATTGCTGATGCTGTTTTTGGAAAAGATTTTACAATAGATCCTCTCACACATGTTCTGCCCTTTCTTTATTTAAAGAATGATCCAGAAATGATGGTTTCTATTACTCGTACTTTTAAGGCATTAAAAACTGTTCTTGGTGAGTTAAAAAATTATTATTCAGAATTTCAAGTAACACAACACATTGATAATTTAAGTCTTCAACGACCAGCCAGTTTTCCTTATCCTTCTTCATTTAAAATGGATGATAACCGTGATATCAAATTTATTTATAAAAATCAACTATGTGATGGTAAATTAGTTTTTAGGGTGCAAGGACAGAATGAAGAATTTAAAGATAAGTGGATGGTAGTGAAGTTCACACAAAAATATTGCAAAGAAGCTCACAAATTCTGTGAAAAAAAAGAAATTGCACCTGAACTTTTTGCACTTAATGATCTTTCTGGAAGTTGGAAAATGGTTGTCATGGAGTACCTTTCTGATGATGAGTACATTAACCTTTACAATCTTCTAAAAGAAAAAAAGGATAATCAGGAAGATTTACAACAAAAAACAATAAATGTTGCAAAACTCTTACATTCTGGAGATTATGTGCATGGTGATCTTCGAGCATCCAATATCATGATTTCAACTGATATGAAGCATATAAAGATTATTGACTTTGATTGGAGTGGAAAAGTAGATCATGCTGTTTATCCACATTTTGTTAGTATATGCTTACCTTGGCATCCAGATGTTGACTGTGAAAAACCAATTGCTAAAGAACATGATTTACATCTTTTAAAGAAGTCTATAGAAAGTAATCCTTTTTAAAAATAACACATTTTTTATATTGTAAGCAATATAGTTTGACATTTCATTAATATATTTAATTCTTTTTTATTTTTTAAATTTTGGATTTAGATTTAGATTCTCGTAATGTTATACTTAGTTAGATAGATATTATTTAGTGAAAGCAGAAAGGTATATAATTTACTTTTTAAAAATGAATAAAATGTATAATAATTCTTCATTATTAAAAAATAAATGGATTTTTATAACTTAATATTTTTATCAAAATTGCTATGTTAAGATCAACAGAAATTATTTGTTAAAATAATTGAAAACCTTACAAAGTGAACATAAAATTATAAAATTATATATATATAGGGATAAGTGTATATGAAAAGTAATAATAAATATAATAGTTCTAATGAATATGAAAAAGCAATTGATTTTTTAGAAAAAGGTTGTGATTATGGTTGCTCTTCAAGAATTCCCAAAGAACAATTTGCAGAGTTAAGGGAATCCTTTCAAGCTCTTTCTAAATCAGAACAAGACATATTTTTAATGGCCCAATTTAAAGCAATGGATGGTGGATCAATAAGCACTAGTAGACGCCTTAAAAAGAAAACCAAATCTCACAAAAGAACTTTCTATCATTAGGATCACAATACATCTCTTTGTCAAGAAACTTATCTCAATATGTTGGGAATTGGTAGGACTTATTTTGAACATATCAGAAATCACCTGATTAATAATGGTCTTCTAGCAAGAGTTCATGGCAATATAAAGAAGATACCTCAATGAAAAACCAAAATGGTAATTGATAAGAATGTTGCAGAAGTAGTAAAGAATTTTCTTGAAAATTATGCAGAAGTCCATGGATTACCAAGCCCAGGCAGAAGTGTTAATAGAATAACTCAGTCAGTTATCTTTTTACCAGCTGAAATGAGTTATAAATCAGTGTATAGAGATTTTCTAGCTGGTCTGAAAGAAGATAACAAATTGAAATCCTTAAAATATGATGCATTTAGAAAACTATGACATCAATTAACACCAGAGATTCAAATTATGAGTCCAAGGACTGACTTGTATAATACTTGTCAACATTTTCGAAATGGTTTACATTACAATGCTTGCCAAGAGGAAGAAGCTAAAGATTTACTCAAAAGATTTAAAGAACATCTGTTCAAGGCAAGATTAGAAAGAAACTATTATAATAAAAACACCAAATTAGCAGAAGAACAAAGGAAATTAGTTAATCAAAATTATTCAAAAGGTAAAACACCATATTGCAGTATTGATGCTACTGCTCATTATAGTTATGATTGAGCTCAAAATGTTCATGTATCACATTTTGATCAACAGGCAAGTAAAATTTATTACTTTAGTTCACGTAAAGTCCATTTATTTGGCATTCAAGATGAAGCAGTAAGGGAACAAATTAATTATGTTCTTAATGAGGATGAAATTATAGGAAAAGGTCCTAATGGCACCCTTAGTATGATTTTTGATGGGATTAAGAAATTGAATAAGGGTGAAAAGTATTTAAAGATTACTTGTGATAATGCCGGTAGGCAAAATAAAAATAATG